AGACTGAGTGCCACTGAGGAAATAAAGTGTCTATCCCATGAACACATGATAGCATAATGACCCAGACATCACTTACTTAACTCAAGCAGGCAAAGAAAACATGAGGGCTGGGTTCAAACCCTGGCCAAGGCCATTAACCTCTTGCAACCTAACATGGGTCCCCATATTCTCAAAACTGTTCTCTATACAATTCCTATGGTGCATGAGAGGAGAATTTGATAAACAGTCAAGAAGTTCTTTACTTGGAAAGCATTCCTCTACTCTCGTGTTTGATTCAGCAGAAGTCTGTATGGGATGTATGGGTATATCAGATCTCCTCAATACTGTAAGGACACTTAATTAAAGATGCCAATCACTCTTAGAGGTTAGAAGGTATAGGGTTCTATTCTTGGGCAAGACTCCCAAACCATAATGTGCCTCTCTCCAGAAAGAGAAGTACAAGCTGGTGTTGGCAAACTGTTGGGGAGATATGAAGAGGTATTGGGAGTTAAAAACAAAGCTGCAAAGGGCTAACAATTCATCTAGGAAAGGAGGAACTTTTTCCCAATGCTCTTCAAGCTGCAGAAATCTTATTCATGTTATATCAAAAAGGCAAAATCCCTTTTATATATAAAAAAGAATACAAAGTTGAGCTATTCTTTTCTGTTACTGAAGACTGAACTGAATCTATTGACAACTAGAGGGTGGAACTTGCTTAAAAAGGAGAACTATCAAGGTATCTCAGAACTAAGTCTGCAGCTGACTAAACACTTTAAATAATGTCAGAGATTTATTTACAATCATGAACCTAAATAATATCACCTAATTAATAATAAATAAATATATGAATAAATGAACACAAAATTCAGTTGTTTTCTCGTAAACCATCCATTATCGTTTAAAATTTACTTTGCTGATCTCAAGTAGTTTAAAATTACAAGTTGGCCCATCAGAATGTTGACTTAAAATTAACAATATGGCAATTTCTGAACAATACGCACTTGGCTTGCAAAAACATAACTCGAAGATAACATGTTATCAATCACATGTAAAAAGATCACTGTTGCCATAATTACATAAAAATTGCACCTTTCCTTGCAATTCATTGTATTTACTTAGTATCTCATTGATGTTTATGTACAAACTCTAATAAATAAGATATTACACGGCTATTTGGAAATACAAAATTTTTCTTCTCATGTAGAAAAACATTTCAACACTCAAAGAGAAATTTTGTATCCCCGCACAGCCATTGTAATATCCTTTACCTATCATAACTAATTTTCCAAGGTCCTCATTAGCAGGTTACCATTTTTTTAGAAAAAATGCAAGATCTTCCATGGTAAGTAGATTTGCACCTCTAAACACATAAAGTGAGAGGCTCACACCTAGTAAGTAGTTGTGTGTTTCAGAAATAGGAGAGTTTGCCTACCTGCGCTTGTAGCTTTTGAGGAGCCACAACCCATAAGTGAGGTGAACCCTGTTCAGGACTTTGTGTTTCTCAGGCTGAGCTAAAGTAAGAAAAAACAGTGTCATTGAATTTCAAGCAGCCTGTTTCCTTGATGTACCAGTAAGTGAAATATTATGAATCACTTCTAGTAATTTACATATTAACCAGATTTCATTTGGTGTAATAGTACAATACAGTATGGCCTGATAGACCAAACTCTCCCACCAGAATGTAAGTCATGCAAGCATGACAAAATTTCCCTTGAGGTACATTTTTCAGTCATGTACTATCAGCTAATTTAAATTCACCAGTATTCTACACTTTTCTCAGTTTCTCTTTCACAAAACTTTCCTTTTGAAGGGCACCACATTGGCACATACACTATTGAAGAATTCACCTGTGCATGAATTTTAGAAATATGTCATATGTCTTCTGAAATCTTGATGTTACATGTCAATTATTTTTGATGAACGCAAAGATGTAACAGAGATAAGGTTTTCTTGGGCATGCGTGTTAAGTGAAGTTTGCTAAGGCTTTAAGTTTAATTTGCATTATTTTAGTGTAATTGGGAATCTGAGGATTAACTAGGAAGTCTTTACATGGGGTTTTACTGAGTGTGCAAAAATTCAGTTTCCAATAATTCACTCTCACACATATTATGCTAACTAACATATGAGACCTTATTAGTGTTCCAAATATCCAAAGGCCTAGTCGCTTTAACATATTGAATTTTTAATGAAATCTAGGTGTGAAAGGATTACAAGCCATCTTTTTTCACTTAGTTTTTCTTAACCTTTTTACTCCCAAGATCTGATTGTCAATTCTCCCCTCTAGCTACTACACATTTCCCTGTAAATTAATCATAAGAATTTGGTGTTAGATCAAGATAACAACTTAATTTGATAAGTT